ATATTGTTCTAGGTAATATCTACCAGTAATACGAAGTGCCCCCAAAGTATCTCACACATTAGTGAACTCACCATTCAGCCAGGGAAATCTCTCCAGCACTAGCACAGAAGAATGGCTTGCAATACCGATGTAGATTTTGTAAATCCACAGTGCTTTTCAAAGTTTTGTGTAAAATGACGGCAGAAGAACGCATTTGGTCAAATATCCTCTTTGTTTTCAACCCCTTTCCCACCCCAATTCAATTTTCATATTTACGACAACTCAGTACAAAAACAATTCGAGTACATTAGTGCAGGATTGTCTGTGAATAATTACTTAATAACTTCTCTGCAACCATTTAATACCTCCATTACCAAAATCAGCCTAATTGATAACCAAAACGCTCCTATCATCTCAATATAACAAGAAATATTAAACAAATTTGCAAGTAAAATCAGTTTCAAAATAAAATACTCGTATAATCTCAATACACTCTCGACACGAAAAGCACGGAGAACTGCAGACTGCTGGCTGAGAAAAGACTTCCCAGCACAGACTGGCACAGTTATAAGAACCAGAGCTCTGTATTAACTGCCAATTGTTTTGAAAACCTTCATTTCGGGAACTTCATCGACACTGTCACATGTTGCTGATTCTTACAAATAACATTTGGTTTAATTTTCTTGTAATGTGTTTTTCATCTAAAGAGAAATAAACAACTCATGCATCTGAGTTATGGAGAAGATAAAGTAATTTTGTCTATTCAGAAAATGATATCCAAAGAAATACAGTGCGCCCAGGAAAGTTTCTTCGCAGTGAGCCGATTCAGGCCCTCTTACTAGAAAATACATTTGCGTTGGTAGGTATCAGATCACTGGTAAGCAAGGGAAGGGTCAACTCGACCAGCATCCAGTATGATTGTGGTTAATACGCAATTTACATTTTCTTTTATTAGAAGCTACAGTTTGTGTTACCAACATAATTTATGTTGCATACATTCTCACTAGCAAGAGTCTGCGGAGAGACTTTCCTGGCGCGATGCATAACATGCATTCACCTGGTGTTACAGAGTTATAATTTAAATATATCTAGTCGGAAACTATGGCAATAGCATTATTTAATTGGCTGTCCGAGTGACGCCGCGTCCATGGCAATGGTGCTCACGTTTCGGTCGCCATTCTGCGACCTTCCGCAGGGCGTAATGCAAACGTGCAATGCAGGGCGTAGGTTGCAGAATGGCGACCGAAACGTCGGCACCTTTGCCATGGACGCGGCGTCACCCGGACTGCCAATTAAATAAAGACTCCGGCCGCGGAAGTCTACGCTCTCATATGGCTATGGCATTCCAAGGTAAATATTTGAAAAAATAAAATTATCTACAACCAAACTATTGAATAAGTGCTCAACTTATCTTGCATGCAAAATATCTAATGGCATGAAGTCTAAAATGCAAGAGACTATAAGTAAATGCAATAAGTTGAATGTATTTAGGGAGAGGCAATTGAAAAATAATATTTTGCACAGTAAGTAATGTTATTTCATGATGTGGTATCCCAACTCACCCTCTGTTTTTAAATGAAACGTGGACACTGAGAAAAAATGAAGAAAGATTAGAGGACTCTCAAAAGAATTTCGCAAGACCTCTGCCGGGTCTAACATGGAGGAACACAGTTCCAAACGAAGTCATAAGGACAATATTATGGATAGTGTGGTTGTTCGTACATGCAAGCTGTCTTTTATTATAAAACTTAATCATTATTTTATTTCAATATGCACATTTCATCATGGCCAAGTTTCTGTACAAACCATTTCAACAATAAATTCTTATTCTACATCCGTAGCTTACGAATCAAGTTTAGCTCATGCAAGCCTAATTCCCATTAAATTCATTTAATTAAATGAACGCAAACTATTTAACTTTTAAATTTAACTTTACAAGTAACGCGACTTTTGATTTGTCAATGGTTAAGGTTTTCTAAAACACTCATACAATGTTAATTATTTGGAAAGTTATCTACGCAATGTGTGTCTTAAATTCCACAATTTAAATTACTTTGCAATTATTTAATTTATTTAGTGGTTCAAACTGTTTTAGTTTTAATTCTAAATCTCTTGACGCAACGCTCCTCTTCATTTGTGGAGGCCAGTCTGCCCGCGTACCGTTGAGTGGCGCTTTCACAATGCCAGATGCTTCGCGTCAATGGGAAGGAAACCATCACAAAGGGTAGTCATGTCTTCACTCGTCTCATCGATTTTCTGTTGGTTTTTTTTGTGATGAACTACAATCTTAAGTGCATACGCGTACAAAGCTCCTCTCAATGTGTTAATTCGTCTGATGTGTTAGTACAATTCGAACTACGCAACTTTATTTATTAACTGAGAACAAGTTATGTGGCCACCGCGTATGCAACCCACCGCTGCGCCAACACGTTCATCGTTAAGCATTATTTGGTAAGTAGTCACGCTGCAACGCCTAGCTTATTCTATTTCACTTTGCACTATAATCTTAACTACGTATATGTGTAAAACTATTATCAATCCACTAATCACTGTTTAATGACTTTTTACTAACTTGAACAGTTGCAATCAATTAGTTATAAACATGTTACGCATTACGGACTTATACGTGCAATAATCGTCTACTGTAATCTGTTGTCCGTGTGAACTCGTGTGCAGCAGAACTAATGACTTCCAGTGACTGTTTTCTTCACGTATCATTTGCACAATGCCAGTCACCTCACAATGCTTCCGTTTCAGCAATGTTGACAGTATATTTTACAACTATGAACAGTGGTTGCACGCTATCAAACACACGCCATCAACATGGTTTTGTCATTGTTCCTGTATGTAATAAGGTGCCTTTATGTTTAGTTCTACATAATTGGTAACACTGCACCAGACGGAGTTGTGGCATCCTTGCCTGCTGTGGCCTCTCCCCACGTGTCATCGCTACTTACGTTAATGCCCACCGCGTGGCAGCTACTGTAATATTCACGTGACAACTTTGTATTCTCTGTTTTTTTTCCTTTTTTGTAGGCTCATATCCTAATAACTTCTCAACTTTGCAATTGTGAAACGATGTTACGTGATCATTAATCATGTTGACGCCTTAGGCTCTCATTCATTTATGTGTTTGCATTGACTGATTAACGCAGCTATCTCCAGATCGCTTTTCTGAAATTTATTTAATGATTAAATTATAAGTATTCATTTTACCCGTGTCTGCTAATTTCCAAGTGATGGTAACGGAACCTGAAACAAGTACCTTTCAGGCTAACGCAATGCACAATTATCACTATTATCTTATGCATTAGTTTCGCCTGTCTATAACGGCCCTGCGCTCGAGCTTTGTGAAATATTTCAAATCAGTTCTATTAGTTTTGGGGTGACAAATTCCTCATGCTATTCCTATGAATTCTGTCTCGCGTCTTGGAGGAAAACATAAATATCCTGTTTGCTTACAAATTAGTGGTGACATGACAAAAGTAAAAATATGTGAAGGATTCGAGACATATTTTTCATATATTTTGTCCCTAAAGAATAATAGAATGCTTGGGCTTTTTAATTTTTATTTTTAATAATTGTGGGGGAAAATGCAAAATATTTTTCTAATATCCCATTATTTAGCATGATCACACGATATGCTACGTTCTACTAATGTATTATTTAAAATCATTAATATATCAAAGGATATGTTCAACCTGTCAATTAAGACGAAAGATTCTTAAGTTGAAGTCATGCTAATTTTCAACAAGAATATTACTTGAAAGACAATGGAAGCACAAAACCACAACACGTTGCTTTCAGCATGTTAAACCTAAACGTGTCGATGGCATTACATACTATTCTAAGCAAACTAGAGAGTACAAGGAAAGCAAACAGTACTAAAATCATTTGGAACAAGAAATACTATACTTAGCTCTGTCTCACTGCTGAAACTTTGCACAGCAGTACTAGGTTCTATGCTAATGATGAGACTGTGGTCATATTCATAGTAGAATCAAAGGCAACCACTTTCTAGCTGAGAACTCTCAGAGGATACTCAGCCTGCGGCCTGAGCGGTTGCTTCTGTCGTTTCTAGCTATTAATTACTAGCTCATATTTGGAAGCCCCGGTGAAAATAAGTCGATATAGATTATACGGATATTTTCCACAGAATCTATGTTTATATTTAGTTCCGTTATTATATTTTGTAATATACTGAAACTACATTTATTGAAAATTCTTCTACTTTAGAAAAAATGGAAGTGTACTTTTTGGAACAGTGTAGTTACTACAATTTATTTTAAAAATAGTGACTAATAGCTGTATAAAACCACAAAAAATGGTTTTAAAAAGTAGCTCGCACACCGTTTAAGAATAACAAACAAAATACTCTCGTATAAATTGAATATTTTTTACAAGAACAGCCTTCACGAATTTCGCCATTTCATAGTATAATGTATATGCAGTACAACAAACACTTACATACAAAGAATATAGGAAACTTTGCTTTTCCATAACGCAATGAATAGCAAATATTTAATGATAGGCGGCTCTATATAACTCTATGTAATGATATAAATCACAATACAAATTACTTTTGTTTCGGTTTGGTTGCTTAAATTTCATTTCACGGTTTAATTTAAGCTAGGTCGTTTATAATTTAAACGTAATTCTCTTCCTTTCTTGTACCCAATGCTTCACACTTTTTGCGACAAATGAGTCATTAGTTCGAGGCCCCTCTTAGAATGGAGTCAGGGTCTGTTTGTCCCATGTATTCCACTCTCTGATCGACGCAGTCGGAACATTAAAATAGCTCACGGACTGTGAGGAAACCTTCGTTCACTATTTAGCTTCTACTCCTTGCCTTCTGGCTCAGAGAGGGGATGAACATCAAACACGTCTCCCATTATGTAGAACACCTCCACAAAAGAAAAAAAACACAGATCACACGCCAAAACTTAATCTGACTACAAATTCAGTTAAGCTTTTGGCATAATTGACCCGGGGGACCATTAGAACCCATACATATAACTGACCTTTGCCCCAGTTTTCCTCAAGGTCGTTGTAGGGGTCTAGGGAGATGACTTCCAATGACTGGGCGTCAAGGCCGGCGAAGGCGTAGACCAGGTGCGTGCAGAGAGAGGCATCGATGTCAGCCACGTGGTAGGCACCCGGCCAGGCTCTGTATGTGGCCCAGCTTCCGTAGTAACATACCGCTTCCCCTGCGCAGGAAAATACACGTGGTGCATTCTTCTAATAACCAACGCCTGACATTTTACAGCGGAATATTTGACAGGAGTAACATATTAGGCAGTGTTATTTCTACAAATTTACTCATGATTTCAAATGAGAAATCCTAAACCACTAACTGGGTTAATGAATAAAAATATTTAAGTTTAGGTTCGATTTTTTCAAAATATTTTCTATCAATCTTGTCGTTTATAAAATTGTTTCTCATTTTAGAGTTTTTTTCAAGAAATTTGTTGTTTCATAATATATTTTATTGTATAAAACTATTTACCTTTTTTAAATTATCATTATCTCATTGTAATTGATTTTCTTATAACTTCAGTAGTATAATTTCAAGAAAATTCTGGGGTACAAATGTCTTAAATATAAAGATTTAAAAATGACCTTATAAATCTAGTTTATTAAATATTTAATTATAATACAATAAAATTGTAATGCTTTCTTCTGAATCCTTTACTCCCACATACTATTCACAGAAATTGATTTAAATGTATCTATGTATTTTTCATGTATAAAATATCCCGTTTACTAGCAACTATGTAGATATTCTAAAGTCCTGTTTGAGAATATCTCAGACATTAATCCGGCTACAGTTTAGGTTTGAGTTCTTTCGCAAATTATTGCTACAATTATTGCTACTTGATTGGTAAGAAAGGGAAGTTCGTAAGAAAAGGAATGTTCTTTGCATCTTAAACATGTAACTTGGCATACTTACGAGAGGCCTTGGGAGATGGGGCGGCTGTAGCAGCGGCAGCAATCACAGCCACGATCGCGATAACGAACGAACAGTTCATTTTGTTAAGGTAACCTGTAGTGTGACTACTTTGCAGGCAACGATGTTTTATATATACAGCTCTCGAGAGGTTTGTTTGGGTAACGTATATATCAGTGATAGCAAGCCCCCGCCCTTTTGATCTTCACGTCCGATCGCAGTCGCCAGATATGGGAGTTTATGCCGTTTAATTCAGAGGTCGAGTACACAGAAGAGACTAATTGAAAGGACAATACATAAGGGGATAGATTCCAGCTAAATTTATTTTAAGGAAGGATGTGGAGGAATTACAAATTAGATTAGATCTCCGTAGATGGAGATGCACTTGAGGATACAAGATATTCTATTTTTGTACCTGCGTATCGCTGGTGTTCTCGCAACATTTTATCAATCGCAGATACATATCAATCACATTGAGTAATAAAGAATTCGATGAGGTTCTGGACAAATTCAATTTATCTACACAACGTATAGTTACTTGCAATATGAAGGTAAATATTTCTACATCCATATCAATTTCTACGAACGCACAGTAATTTTCATGTGTCCGCGTCATCAAATATTTATATTCATTTAACAAGTGTAGTGAATGATATACTGTGAGAGATGGCGGTCGTGTATTATTCCCCTGCTAGTACGTAATTTTCAGCGCCGACCTACACGACGAAGTTTAAGGCTCCCCTCTCCAGGTATCTCTGCCACCACCCCAGCCGAAAAACCCTCGACTAGTCTCCCAGATACGTGACAGTATAGTGCATGTAAGTGGATGTGTAAGTAAGAGTTGAGGATAGTTCAAGGATGAGGAAGGGTAGATAACGCGCTGTCCGTGACCCGTTTGTTAAGGGTCCGTCCCGGCATTGATCATCACAGAAAACCACATCACTTCTGGCATTTATTAAAAACGCCGAAAACTAACGATAAGAGCAACCGTTCTTTAGACTTCCCCTCTACTTGGCGGCAGAATTCGACCTAGCTTTTAGATATTACCACCGTCCGGAATCGACCCCTTGAACCTGTCGGACAGAGTCACTGCTGTGTCTTGCGCTAATTTATTCGCTTTTTTTAAGAAAACCGGATGATCGTATCACGTTTGGGATCATGAATTTGAACACCTTTGCTTAGAGAAAACATTCATTAGATCTTGGGTGAGGTAGATAATTTCTAATAACTAAATGCGGTAAATTAAAGATATCAAAAAATACATAATTTTTTTCATACCAGACAACATCCTGAATTTACCGTATTTAATTAGAGAAAATCATTATAAAAAACTGCTGGACGTCAGTGATGCCACTAAATCGACTTTACTGAATCAGGAATGAAATATTTAAACCTCACAAGCGCAATATAGTGTACTATTCTTATTTATTTTAACTCTTGTACTTTAAAATTTGAACTGTAAACTTTTGGTTAATTTGGAAGATTTTATTCCACAGAGTATTTACGCGATAATATCTTCCATGAGATGTTTAACCGGTAAAATCTAGTTTAAAATTAGCTAACATAAGAACTTTGCGGGACAATGCCCAATTATGATGATAAGGCGGGAGTGATTTTTTCTTGGCTTCAAGGGTTGCATGTTGAAATGTTTGCATTCATGTTTGGTTACATGTTGTGGCATGGTGGAACGCTCACAGTCACAAGCAATCAGCTTTGAATCTTCTTCTCCTTTCTATTCTCCTTTTTCTGCCCCTGGAAATAGAGCCTGAGGGCTACTTCGGAAACTGGAAGTGGGCCTCGTAAGTGGTGTGATATATTCGGCGGGAATGGCCTCGCAGTCCAGCCAAATATGGGGACACGACCTGTGAGATAGTGCAATGAATTAAATCTATTGTATGATGCCTGAAATGATGTTCACAAATACCTGGGAAAGATGAACTGGCCTCAAATATTTTTAAAACATTACATCCATGTATTAAAAAACAACTAAGCTGGAAATATCGTTGATGATTGTAGAGAGCATAAAGTGTACAACTTCTGTACCCTCACAGAGAAAGCGAAGATTATTATGCTACTTTTTCGCCATTCAGAAGAATACTTTCTTAAAAGAATTTATAATTTGAGGAATATTATTTATTTTAATACAATTTTTGTAGTAGAACAAAATAATCATATCGAAACATTTTAATTTTTTAAATATAGTACATTATTAAATAAATTAAATTTGCCCACTTAGAGGCGGACATTTATCAAGTATTTATTACCAGATATATACATTTATCTAGACCTAATGGTAAAAACAAATCATATTAACTACTTTTCATTCCTGTTTAGTGTCCCTTGCTATGCATACAAGCATCGTACCCGTATTTGTTTTCATTGAAGATTTGATGTATTTTTGTTCAGAAAATTAGAACTGATAGCTTAATCGAGGATTTATTAACTGTTTTTACTGATATGTTTAGAACTAGTCCATCAATCTTTACATAAATTAACTCTGACAATAAAATTATTTGAGCACAGAGGAACATTATTTGCTCTCTTTCTCCACGATATGAAATGATGGTTTTTTGAAAGTTAGAAATACTTTGGTTCCTATAATTATTGAATGAATGAAAAACTTCCAAATACTTTTATAAGGGCCTCTAGGATACTTTTTCAAATTTCCACATCCGTTATTCATTTAACATTTGTTCTAGTTTATTGTCATATTTCAATACGAATTTTACTATTTTCACACTCGACAGCAACATTCACAAAAGACCTTTGATATTTACTGTAAATCATTTTTAACAAACAAAATTATAATTTACATACTTGTTCAGTCACCAGAAATAAGAACGAAAAGTAATACAATATATCAGTAAATGCACATGTTTGCTTCCTGTAACATTACCTAAACGTCAACTTTTTAGACTAGTTTTTTATATCTTAAAAAAATGTATTCTTCCTGCTCAGCATTCTTTTAAAAAGAAAACCTATTGCATTGAGATGCACGGTATAAAAATCCGCAATCTGCATTTCTATTGTCAGGTGTGGTGTGTTCAACTTATTGTCATCACTGTATACGTGATAATAATAAGTTAGAGAATGGCAGTAAATTTTATATTATTTTAAGATGGTCTGAAATTGTCTTTGAAGAAACGTAATCGGATACGTAGATGTCATCTTTAGTTTTTCTTAAATTAAAAATATTGAACAAGGGGATGAAGGGAATGCAGAAAAAAATTTTGTGAAATGAGTTGCTCCCGTAGGTATGTAGAGTCCTTTTTGTAGTACGTCTTCACACGTGAGTTATGATGCTCGCATAAACCACATTCTCTTCTCGTTACTCACTCCCCTCGTGAGAAGCAACCATATCGTTGCGTGGAGGAGAGTAGCCCTCCTGAATAAATAAGGTGATAAATCAAGTGCGAAGGTTGGATGGTCGCGCATTAGCCGATGACGTCGGAGGTGCCGGGGTCGCTGAGGCGGCAGCTGCCGGAGAGGACGTCGAAGCGCATCTGGAAGCCCTCGTCGCTGATGTGATCCCGGAACGTGATGGAATCGCTGTGGAAGTACACGTTGAACGGTCCGGCCGCGGTCGCTAGAATAGAACCATAACATCATTATGTCCCATTAAGCATTAACACAACAAACCTGAAATATAATTTAATATATTTAATGTCGGCCCCGTGGCGCAGACGGTTGCGGAAGCCGTCGTCTGTGCCGAGGAGACTGCAGGTTCGAGTCCTGCGTAGACATGGTCATATTTGTGATTGTCCCTTCACCTATCATCATCATCCTATCATCTCATGATTCACACTTTAAGGCGTAACAACCTTGTTGTAATCCAAGGATACAGCTGAAAAGCTGATCCTGGAAGAATTACACACGTTAATCGTGTAGCGTGGTCAGTAATGGCCTATACGCCAATAATAACAATAATATATTTAATCCACTGTCAGAAAGTTTATTTCTTTACTATCGTACAATACAATGGCGTATCGTTGCTCTGAGAGGCGAAATCGCAGTGGCGATTTCGAATCATGGGTTCGAATCCCGGCTAGGCATGGAGGTTCACCTATGTGTTCTAAGACAGTAGTCATTCTAACCCAACTTATTGTGACTCTTTTGCGCCTATAAGACACAACGGAGCGCTACTTAATGTGGCTGTGATTTGTTTCTCCGTTAATACCAGGCTAAAATGATTGGGCCATTGGGCTACGCTAGCGCATGTTCGTAAGGTACACATCAAATTTACAGTACATTTTTCAGCGCATGAGAGTGTAAGTGTTTTTGATTAAGAGGCCAGGAAGAGGAAGGAAAGATCGCGCTCGCTCCGTGACGCGTTTGTTGGGGTACTGCTCCGGCATTCACCAGGTGTTGATAGGAGATACCACGGAAAACTAAATATCAGAGCAGACAGATGTTAGAATTATCCTCCTCACAGCGGCTAAACTATACCTAGCTAAGTAGCTAGTGTTGAAAATCCTGACACCCTCGGGACTCGAACCCTACGACTTCCCAGTCAGTGGCACTGGAATAACATCACTTAATGCCCTTAGCCACCTATCCGGCCTGAAGTGTCCAAAATTTTAGTATTTATGAAGATCATTGTCGAGGTCGAAATCATTAAAATACAAAAATTACGTTGTAAAAATTAATTTCACATATTATATTTTGTTTTTATTTCTTGTTGATACAGTGTGCGTTGTTACATGAGATAGAAACTTTGGTAATCTCCAATCATTATTTCATCAATCAATTCATTTAAATATACGTAGCAGTCGGAGATCCACGGAGATGGAAATGAGAGAAATCCCCCCTAAAAGTTTTTAGTATCTGTTAATTTTAACTTTTTCAAGAGACTTTCAAGAAACATATTTTCGCTTTATCAGTAAAACAATTAAAGTATCGCAACATGAGATGAGTGTAGCTTGCGACATTTCATAAAATCTGTAATATGACATTATCGACGAAAACGATTCGAATCCCCCCTCCCCAAATTCGTCTCTGGATCCGCTCCTGCATATGGAAAGCGGTATCGTTATCCTCTACAAATATTCTCAGGAATACATTAAATATTACGGTTTAACACTTATCTGTAG